TGTTATTAGAGATCAATTACGTCTCGATCATCTCAACGAAGAGGAAAAAGATTTAATTACGAATCTTTGCTTAGATTTTTCGGACATATTCTATTTAGATGGTGATAGCCTGTCATTTACAAACGAAATTAAGCATTCCATTGATACCACTACCAGTAAACCAATTTTTACCAAATCCTACCGATACCCTTATGTCCACAAGCAAGAAATCAAAGATCAAATTTCGAAATTACTAAAACAAGGTGTGGGTCGTACCAAAGAAAATGGACGCCTCTGGTAAACAGAAATGGCGTATGGTGATTGACTATCGTAAGCTTAACGAAATCACCATCGATGATAAATATCCCCTGCCAAACATTTCCGATCTACTTGATCAATTAGGGAAATGCCAGTACTTTAGTACACTGGACTTGGCATCTGGATTTCATCAAATCGAGATAAATCCAGTTGATGTTCCTAAAACTGCATTTTCAGTTGAAAACGGACATTACCAATTCTTGAGGATGCCTTTTGGTCTCAAAAAATTATCGAAGACATATTCGAGGAAAATCTTGATTTTTCTGCAGATAAAATTAACATCGCGTCTAGCAAAACAATTAAAGATAGAAAATACTATATTATTCCTGTGCCATACGATCCCGTAACTTGCATCCAGTATCTTTTCTCTGTAATTTTAACCAACAAAGGTGTATTCGACCTATTCCAACAAATCTACGTTGAAAATAATTTGGACTTACCCATTTTAGAAATTTTCTCTTTTATTTTTTCGGATGATAATATCAAACTTGTCGTTTGCCAAAACGTCACCAAAACTCCTAGTCCCGATGAAATCCCCGTCATTTTAGATCAATACCATTGTGGTAAGAAAAACATTCATCGAGGAATTAATGAAACAATTAGGCGAATTCGTGAACGATATAATTGGCCCGGCTTAACTAAAGACGTTGAGCATTTCATCAAAAAGTGTGAAATTTGTCAAAAGACCAAAATTTGTCGTAAAAACCTCAGTGCCCCTTTTGTAGTAACTGAAACCCCTAAAGCCCCGTTCGAAAGAATCAACATTGACATTTTGGAAGTCCCACCTAAATGCTACGCTCTCACAATCCGAGACGAGCTAACAAAATTTTCTCAAGCCTATCCAATTAGCGACAAATCTGCAAAATCTGTAGTAAATACTCTACTTTTATATTTCCAACATTATGGTACACCTCTCCGAATACACTGTGATTACGGAAAAGAATTTGACAACGCCCTCATGAAAGACCTTTGTAGTCTTTATGACATTAAATTAACTTTTTCTAGTGTCAGTCATCCCCAGTCCAATGGCTCGATTGAGCGATTTCACGCCACCTTATTGGAAATGATCAGATCCCATGTATCCGAAAATCCCGACGAACATCCCTTCAATATTCTTCCCTATGCTGTTCAGTGCTACAATAGTACTAGAAATAAAACTACTGGCTTTACACCATACGAGGTCGTGTTTGGCCACACCTCTGGTCGTCCGCCCGAACACGTATATTTAGAAAAAGAATTGATGTCCAAGTATGTTCGAGACATTCGGAATAAACTCGAATATTACTACAAAATTGCCCGCGTGAGAACTGACGAACAGAAGCAAAAAGCAAAAATTCGCTTTGATAGTAGAGTGTCACCCAATTTACAATCATATAAAATTGGCGATAAAGTCTTTGTGAAACAGTCTCAAATTTCAAACAAGCTTCAGAACAAATTTGATGGTCCATTCGAAATTACTCAAGTTTTTGCAAATTCTGCGCTCCTTAAGAACCCGGAAACAAATAGAATAAGTAAAGTTAATTTTGACAGACTGAAACCATGTTTTGAGACTTAGTTTCTCTTTCAGGTGCAGTCTGCTGTTTCTTGCGGCTGTCACAGCCCAGATAGACATCAAACCGCTTAACAACACCTTAGGTATCTATTTTCATGAAGACGCCCCTCTTAAGATTTCCAACGAAATTTGGACACTCCTTGTATATAAAGACTTAGAACTCATTAAGAAAGCACTTGACGATAACAACAATATTCTGGAACACTTATCATATCTCGTAGACAAACCCACCAATCGTATGAAAATGTTTAGTGGTGAAATTAAAACTCATACAAGTCTCCTTTATCAAATTTCTCGTTCCTTGGAATCTAAATATTACGCGATCTTCGATGACACTGTAAGCGCATCGCGGATGAAACGCGGTCTGATTAACGCTATAGGTACTGTATGGAAAGCAATAATCGGCAACCTCGATTCATCGGACGGTGAATACTATAACGATTGTATTAACAAAATTTCTAAAGATGAACATGAGCTCGAAAACCTCATGAAGAACCAAATTTCTGTTACCATGTCGGTTATCAAGAATTTTAATAACCCTATTCAAAAACTTATGATTGATGAAACTACGTTTAATGAAGATATTAAGGTCATTGAAAACAAAATTTATGAAATTTCAGACGATCTTGCATTTTATGAAGCTAAATTCCAATTTTTAGAAGTTTGCGAACAATTAAGGGAAAGCTACATGTTTCTGGAAGAGACAATTAATGATATTCTAAATTCAATTACTTTTGCACGTTTAAAAATAATACATCCTTCTATTATCACTCCTCAAGACTTAGTAAATTCTCTTCAAGAAATTTCTCACACTTTGTCGAGAAATAATTTACCCCTTCCGGTTAATTTAGCAACAGTGTCAGAGTACCTTAATCTTATGGAACTCGAAGCATATCAAACTAAAACAAGAGTAGTATTCGTTCTACGCATCCCGTTATTAGAGCCCGAAATGTATACTTTATACAGAGTGATTCCTCTACCCACTCTCGATAAACGTACTGGTTTGTTTCATGTAGTCTCCAATATACAGAGGTACATTGCTAAAGATAGCGATTCTCTTTTGTACGTTTCCTTTCAAAACTTAGGTAGTTGTAAAGTTCTTCAGTCTCAGGTGAAAATCTGTTTCAACCTCTTGCCGTATCCAATAGACAGTAATGCAGTCTGCGAAGCACAGTTGTTGCGAAATCCGGTCGATCTGCCGACAGCCTGCCAAATAGCAATTGTGGCATTGCAAGATTACAAAATCCAAGAACTTGCAACCAATTTTTGGCTAATCACCATATCTAGCCCTCTGCCAATTACGATGAAGTGTGGACAACGAGAGACTACCACCAAAGTGATAAAAGTCAATTCACTTTTAAAAATGCAGCCCGAATGCAGTGGCTTTGTAGGCACCACGAGATTACATTCTAGATATTCTGTTAGCACCTACAAGAATATCACATACAAAAGTCACCCTGTAGAAGTACCCTACAAATGCTGTGAACATCTCCCAGAGAAACAAAATTTACCAAAATTAAAACCGATCAAGCTAAGCAAGATCGATACTGAAGAACTCGAAATTGCCAATCACAAATTAAACCAATATTCTGAACAACTGGACAAAATTATGAACGAGCCGTTTGTTTCGAGACATCTCTCATGGTTCACGTATTTTATCATCACCCTGTTAGTTATCATCGTAGCTTTGTACCTGTTCTGCAAGTGCAGAAAACGAAGACCACTCAGCATCTGCGCATCAAATTATCCAGCCGATGGCCCATCTCCAGGAGCACCAAAAGTCCGGTACATTCCCAGACTTTTTCCTCGACGTAGACCAACCATCCAGCCACATGAAGAAGACATCGAACTGCAGTGAGTGTTCCGTGAAGTGTTTTCACTGTTCAAAAAGACATTTCCAATTTTCGTGTTATCTTCCATGTGATTTTGCCCGTACGACTGTACGATTGTATCTTATTATTTGTTTGTTCCAGCTTTGCTTTTAGATGTTATTTTGCATCGGCAATGTACCGCATTTATGCTAACAATTTATTTTTCAGAATGTGTATTTTCTGATTTTACTTTTGCAATTTGCATTTTGCAATTTTACTATTTTTATATTTTTTCAACGTTTACAATTTTACAATTTTTACATTTTTCAATTTTGGTCAAAAGTTGTCGCATAGCAACAACTTTTTGTAATAGGGGGGAGTTGTTATATGGCCATAGTAACTACGCAGTTATTATACAATGTTGCACCAGACGCTGTGTCAGCATATGATAACAACTTCTCGCTAATCCGTTGCTAGAATAGTGCCTTTGCTGTTTTCTGCTAATTCTTAGTCAGCTTTCTGAATGTATAAATAGGCCTCGCGGATATATCCTGTTGTTCAATACCCGGTTAGACTCCGTAAATGTCACATTTGTAAACCTTTGTATTTTATATGGACTGAAGGTTCAGTCCTCAAATAAAATTTTTTAAAAAGTTATTTCTAAATCTAGTGATTTAAGATGCATATTACATGGAATAATCATAACATCGTAAGTATAGCTGTGATTTTAGAATATTGTCAGATGTTAATGTTAGATGATTAGATGTTAAAATCTAACTAAAGTAATCTGTACTTGAGTAAAAAAAAACGGGTGAGATCAAATTCAACAATACAGAGGTATGCTGTTCATAAAACGTTATTAAATCCTGAAATATGGAAGTGTGGTGCCGACAAATGCAGTAAATAGGTCGTTTTTACCTGTTACCCTATCGTAACGCCGGGAACACACTCGGCGTTTTTTTTTCTGATCGTTTTTTTGCCGTCGACACTGTAACAAAATTATAGCATACACACTGGGCGGTCAAATATCCGCCTAGACACAACCGCCACTTCAGCCAATCTATCACTGACCGGCATGCAGCAAGTGTCTAATCGTGCATATTGTATTGTTGTGTATTAACATGAAGAGAGGACATCTTCTCGCATTATTGTTATTTCGTCGGCGATTGAAGAGGAAGCGAAAAATAGACTCATTTGGGTGCATCCTATTAATCAAAGGAGAGGGGAAGCTGGAGCTTTCTGCACTTTGTTTCCTGATTTAAGAAACGATGAAAAGAAATTTTTCAATTACTTTAGGATGTCGATGTCGTCATTCGATGAACTACACAACCGGCTGAAAACTCATGTCCAACGGGAAAATACAAGGATGAGGAATTGTATTCAACCGGTGGAAATGCTGGCAATAACTTTAAGGTAAGTAAAACTGAGAATAATAAGAATACAATCACCAGACAACTTTTATATTATAAAACCATATATTTCTGCTCAGAATAAGTTACAACATTGTATTACATTTTTGGCAATAGTTGATGACGTTCAATTACAATTCTGTGAAATCAATTGTGGTTGATGAAGAAGCTACAGAAGGGCTGCGAGAAGGCTGAACATTATCATCCCTGATCATTTGACAAGCAAAACCTTTATCCTGGGTTTCATTTGAAATATGCTGGAAATTTGTGAAAGGGGAGCAGGTCATTTGTTGTGCTGGATACTGAGGGGACATCCTTTGATTCGCAAATGCTCGTTGACACATGTAGGGAACGTTGACAGGTTGGGTAAGGTTGGATTGTTGATTAAACTGGGAAGTAGAATGGTTCTGTACATTTCAGGGTTGAGGTATGCAGGGATATGAATTTTTGACTTTAGAAATGACTTTGAGAAATTCCATTTGCCATTGAAGCCACTGGTTGTCGTCAAATTTGTCTTCATGAGGCAGCAAGCTTTCAAAGAATTGCAATTTGTCGTTTTATTTTTCGGTTCTGTTTGCTCCATTGCCCGCAAAATTTTCAGGTCGACATCATCCATCTTTTTATGTTGTCTTGTAGGCGGTTTTGCTTTTGAAACAACTGCTTTGGTTGAGCCTTCAATTTCAGTCACTTCCGTTAGTACTGTCGCAGCACTGGCTCCTGCAATCTCCTCATCTTCGTTGTCATAACTCTCTTCTGTTTCTCTTTCTTTGTATATTTTGCGCAGAAACTGTAGCTCATCGTTAAAAATGTATTTTTTTCTCTTGGAGGCCTGTGAACCACTTGCTTTAGATTCTTTGAAATTCTTTTCTGATCTGATAAAAGCATCACGTAAATGTTTCCACCTTTTCATCACTTCTCTACCTGAAAAAAAATAGTAAAACAAACTTAGGAAGTAAATTGACTACATACAACATGTTAACTATATTGTTGCACTGGCACTAAAATGATGCTTTTTCTTTTTAGGTACTTGGCCAGTGGATGCATATTTGCCGATCTCCATTATTCATACAGAATTGGACGATCTACAGCAAGATTGATTGTTAAAGAGGTCTGTCAAGCTCCGTGGCTAGTTTTGCAAAGTGAGTTCATACCACCACCCACTAAAGAAACCTGGGAGAAATCAGCAAAGGGATTTGAATCAGTAGCAAATTTCCCTGATTGTGTGGGTGCGATAGATGGAAAGCACATCCGTCTCGGATGTCCAGCGGAAAGTGGCTCAATGTTCTTCAATTATAAAGAATATTATTCAATCGTGTTAATGGCTATCGCAGACAGTTCGTACCGATTTACTTACGTGAACATTGGAAGTTATGGAAAAGACTGTGACTCGTCTATTTTCAAGGATACTAAGCTGTGGAAATCAATTCTAAGTGGTTCACATAATCTACCGGAAGAAATGTGCCTTCCAGGAACAGAAAGCCCGAAAGTACCTTATTTCTTTGTTGCTGGCGCAGCATTCGGCTTACATAAACATTTGTTGAGACCATACGCTGGCACCCACTTGACTGTTGAAACGAAGGTGTTTAACTACAGACTAGGTAGAGCAAGAAGATACGTAGAATGCGGCTTCGGAATATTCAGTAATAAATGGCGAATTTTCCACCGTCCCTTGAATGTACAAAAATCTGCAATCGAAGCTGCACATAGCTCCTTCATCTTCTGGCCTCCCAAAATACTGAACTGCAACGTCGCAGGTCGCATTAGCGCCTAAGGTGATTGAGCAAGTAGTGGCGAAATGATATGGACTATAGAAGAGTAGCGTCACTCCGTCGTTGAAACAGTTTTTGGCGAGGTGTCTGAAATTACATTGTGGTATACCAAATCCTTCATGCAGTTAAACTGTGATGTCTGTGATATAGCAGCTAGTCAGGAGGAAGGTAAACATCCAGGAATGAAGGTCACCTGAAGGTAGTTGACCGCAAAACACCGGATTGTTTTACGCGTTGCGAAACTAGCAGGAAGTGGGGTGCTAATATTTCGATGCTCGGCTAATGATGTAAAGGCGACTATTGTTATTCCAACATATTTGGAATTTGAGACATCGTCGCTTAAGTTGTAACACCACTAAACGCAAAGAATAACTTATGTATTTGCTTAAAAAAGCCACCGTGAATGCCGGAATGTCATCAGCAGGCACTATTAGCTTATGAGGTTTCATTTGCGACTAGACAAACATGGAGGATTATAAGATCATTCGATAGCGACTCCAGAGGCCCACATTTCTTTTATGCTCTCCTAAAAAGTTGTTAGTTTAAAGTTACATCGTGCTGGAACTCTTTATTGAACAACTAAATTTTTGTGATTCATGACTGGGTAGTACCAAAAAGAAGAAAATACAATACAAATTTGTTATTTAGTTTTACTTTCTACGTCAATGATTATTGCCAAACAATTCCAAAGTAGATCGTTCAAGTATATTGCGAGAAAATAGATGTGATGTTCCATTTCTTTATTTAATTTTATACTCTTCAGTCTACATTATTCATGTTCCCTGAAATATAAATACGAACATACAAAAAACAAAGTGATTGTGATTACACACAGTTCTGCTTTCTTTTCTGGTTAAAAAGTTTAGCGCTCTTACACTCATTTTCAAACTTGTGACCGAACAATAATCCATTCCAACCTCTGTTAGAATCAGTATAGTAGTTACTCATACTGCACAATGTCAAGGAAACCAGAACGACAGGTGGGTTATCGCCAATGGGTGGAACGCTAAAGCACTCTATTTTACAAGCCTATTTTCCAGAAAATGTTATTTATCATATATCGTCTAGACAGAAAAAATAATAATATGTATAAACTCAATTACTCTATGACATGCCAAACTAGGCATTACTCTGTTGAAATCAATAAAATTAAAAGTAGGGAACCCATTCAGGTGAACCATCCGCCTGTAACCTTTCTTCCCTTTATTTGGATATCTTGGTCGCCTCCAGGCAGTAAATCAAAAACAAAGAAAAACCTATTGCATACCGGCATGTGTGTGGGTGTATCTATCCAGTTGAAGGGTGGATGTAAAGCTGGACATATACGCTAATAAGATACTTAACAGACTGGTTAACCGCTTAACGTGTTTACCCGAGATATCTCGGGTAAGTTCGTCTCTCATATTTTCGCCAACCCGAGTTAAGACGGGCAAAAATAAATTATTAGGTATCTTGTGTGCCTACCCGAGATAATACGATTTAATCGTTTATAGGCATTTTTACTGCTGGTGAAATGAGAGTATTTTTGGGGCTTATAATTCTTCAAAGTATTATAAAAAAACCTGAAATGAGGCAATATTGGTCTAAAAGTCCTTTATTACTGACACCTTTTTTTGCAAAATGCCTGAGCAATAAAAGATTTGAAGCAATCAGGTCAAATCTACATTTTGCTGATAACGAGACCTTTGACGCTAAGCACCACCCAAACCCAAAGCTAAATAAGATATGGCCGATATACGACAAGTTAGTGAATAAATTTCGAGCTACAGTTACTCCAGAGAAACATGTGGCAATTGACGAAAGTCTTTTATTATACAAAGGTAGACTTGGCTGACTCCAATATATTATTGGTTGTGGACTATAACGATACCATGGGTGGAGTGGACCGAGTGGACCAGCACTTGGCTGATTTTGGATTTAGCCCTATGGAAATCTTTTATAATATATGTAAAAACGGGCGGAACAAAATCAGCACTTGTATACCGATTGGAGGTTATAAAGCAAATAATGGAAAAATATCATCAAACTGAGTTTACTCCAAGAACAGGACGACCTTCAACCCAGCTCACTCCGCTTCGTCTGACAGGACGACATTTTCCAGATCTTATTCCAGCTACTGAGAAAAAGATAAATCCAACCAGGCAATGTGGAATTTGCAGCAGGGCTCGAGATGAACGCGGAAAGAAGATTAGAAGAGAAACCAAATATTACTGTGCAAATTGCGAGACCCTCCTTGTGTGTGACTCCATGCTCTAGGATTTACCACACAGTTGCAAATATTTAGAACAATGTTTTTTTAATTACTTACATATAATTTTTAAGTTTTAGATGTGTTACCTTAGGTTTGTTCCTCAAATAAATATTTTTTTTTGTTGCCCGAGTTAACTCGGGTAAGCACATGTATAAAAATAAATGTAAGTTTTTTTACAAAAATTCAGGGTTTTATTTAATTTTTAACTCTAGAAAATAAAATAACTTCCGATTTAGTTCAAAATAAGAAAATAAAAAAATGTTTACCAATTTTTGAAAAAAAACTAGATCGTTAAGCGGTTAACTAACTAAAGGGTGTCTCATAAATGTTTTCTTATTTTATGCCATAAATAAAAATACTTAGAATATTTTTACAAAGATAAATTTATTACCAAACGAAAGCCTAAACATTAATTTTATTTATGGAAAAGAGTATCGGATAAATGAGCACCGTTCATGTTTTCACACTCTCTTAATCTCGAACTGAAGTTTTCGATCACTCTCCGAAGCATTGCTCGAGGAATGGCGTTTATTTCATCTGTTATTTTTTGCTTCAACTCTCTCAAATCTTGTGGCGGTGGGGTGTATACCTTACTCTTCAGGTATCCCCATAAGAAAAAATCTGCTGGTGTCAAATCGGGACTTCTCGGTGGCCAGTTAATGTCTCCTCTGCGACTGATGACCCTCTCTGGGAATAACTGATGAAGAGCATCCAAGGATTCATTAGTGACATGAGAAGTCGCTCCATCTTGCTGGAAAAACGTGTTTCTATTGTAGCCACCATGGTTCTGTATAGCTGGAGTTAAAAAAGTCCTAATCATGTGGCAGTAGCGCTCAGATGTTACAGTTTGAGCTTGGCCACGATTGTCTTCAAAAAAATACGGGCCAATGATTCCTTGCCCTGACATAGCAGCCCAGACGATAACTTTAGGCGAGTGTAATGGCGTCTCATGAAGATTTTGCGGGTTCTGCTCGGCCCAATATCGGCAGTTTTGTTTATTAACATGCCCGTTAATGTGAAAATTCGATTCATCAGAAAACCATATGTTGTTGTAACCGTTAAAATGCTCTCTCATTGTTCTACAGAACTCTAATCGATTAGCGGGATCTTGTGGTTTTAATTGTTGTGTAACAACAATCTTGTATGGGTGAAAATGCAAATCCTTGCGAATAATGCGATGAACAGTTGACTTATGCAAAGTTAGAGACGCTCCACGCAGTCTTAATGATTGCCGGGGATCCTCGTTAACGGACTGGCGCACACGTTCAATATTTTCGTTCGATCTTGCTGACCTTGGCCGTCCAGGCGGTTTACTAATACACGTGTTTCCAGTGCTCTCGAACTTTATTATGGATCTTAAATCATTAGATTTAGAAATAACTTTTTAAAAAATTTATTTGAGGACTGAACCTTCAATCCATATAAAATACAAAGGTTTACAAATGTGACATTTACGGAGTTTACATAAGTGACTGTTACGGTGCCTAGCCGGGTAATGAACGACATGAAATGGGCGCAAGGCCTATTTATACTATTGGTGTGCTTACAAAGCACTTCTAGAAAATAAAGCGTAAACAACGAGTTAGGGAGAAGTCGTTATCTGTTGCTGAGCTAGCGTCTGGTGCAACATTGTATGGAATAGTAAGTCCATTGTTTTGAGTGCATATAACAACTTCCCCCTATTACAAAAAGTTGTTGCCATGCGACAACTTTTGACAAAATTAGAAAAGTGTAAAAGATGTAAAAATTCAAGAATGTAAAAATGTAGAAATGTGAATTGTAAACATTGTAAAATATAAAAATATAAAAGTAGGAGTAATAAAATTGCAAAATAACATCAAAAAAGCAAAGCTGGAACAAACAAATAATAAGATACAATCGTACAGTCGTACGGGCAAAATTACATGGAAGATAACACGAAAATTGGAAATGTCTTTTTGAACAGTGAAAACACTTCACGGAACACTCACTGCAGTTCGATGTCTTCTTCATGTGGCTGGATGGTTGGTCTACGTCGAGGAAAAAGTCTGGGAATGTACCGGACTTTTGGTGCTCCTGGAGATGGGCCATCGGCTGGATAATTTGATGCGCAGATACTGAGTGGTCTTCGTTTTCTGCACTTGCAGAACAGGTACAAAGCTACGATGATAACTAACAGGGTGATGATGAAATACGTGAACCATGAGAGATGTCTCGAAACAAACGGCTCGTTCATAATTTTGTCCAGTTGTTCAGAATATTGGTTTAATTTGTGATTGGCAATTTCGAGTTCTTCAGTATCGATCTTGCTTAGCTTGATCGGTTTTAATTTTGGTAAATTTTGTTTCTCTGGGAGATGTTCACAGCATTTGTAGGGTACTTCAACAGGGTGACTTTTGTATGTGATATTCTTGTAGGTGCTAACAGAATATCTAGAATGTAATCTCGTGGTGCCTACAAAGCCACTGCATTCGGGCTGCATTTTTAAAAGTGAATTAACTTTTATTACTTTGGTGGTAGTCTCTCGTTGTCCACACTTCATCGTAACTGGCAGAGGGCTAGATATGGTGATTAGCCAAAAATTGGTTGCAAGTTCTTGGATTTTGTAATCTTGCAATGCCACAATTGCTATTTGGCAGGCTGTCGGCAGGTCTACCGGATTTCGCAACAACTGTGCTTCTCAGACTGCATTACTGTCTATTGGATACGGCAAGAGGTTGAAACAGATTTTCACCTGAGACTGAAGAACTTTACAACTACCTAAGTTTTGAA